TAGCAACACCTCCGGCTTAAGCCACAAGAGCTCACCTTCACGCTAGGGTAACGCTGATATAGCCTCTCAAGGCTATCAGCATAGGTAGAAGAAAAGTTTACTGACCGAAGACGCCAGACTGAGCGATCCCCCCCCCCCCAGAAGAGTGAACAAGCTCGCAGCAAACCTGGTGTTAGATTACGTGAAGCCCGCAGTCAATAACAACGTTAATACCAGCCACGCATCTTGAAACTCGAGATCTATAACGTCTCCAATGGGGAATCATACTTTTATGAATTTAATTTTTACTACACGACATTAATCGACTTTAGCACAGAAGTTATTCACGAACATTTTTAAAGGTTATGTTAATTACAAAAATAAGAAGTAAGCTCTCAGCGTAATTCGAACCCAAGCACTGTCGTATCGCTCGATACGAACGCACCAGATGTCTTATCCTTTGGGCCGCGACGCCTTAGTATAGTATCTATATATTAATACGTGAAGCAAAAACTTTGCACACCCCTTTTTACGAAAATTGCGCGGACGGAGGAGTATGAAATTTCCTACACTTATAGAGAATACAGAGAAGGAGTGCAGAATGCTAATATATTTTTTAAATTATGTACAAAAAAATTGATTAAATCAATAAAAAAAACATTACACACACTACCATGTATTTGACGACGTTGGGTTATGTTTATTGCAATGATTTCTTAAAATTAAACTTAAAAAATCTCATCGAAAAATACATCAAATTTTAATGGTACACGTGTGATTAAAAAACTATAATAATAACTGGGAATAAATCTGAAACTGAAAATACTCGATTTTTAATGTGGCGTTCGACGGGTTAAGAATTTTCCCGCAAGCGTAACAGACGATATTGAGTTATCTATTCATCTATTTGTCGCGCACGTACTTAATGCAAATTTAAGACTTATATGATTTTCTCATGGATACCATTATCAGAACTGGACTAAATTGAAACGGGACCACACGGAAAGCGCCATCTTTCTAATAAAAAAAGAATCATCAAAATCGATTCACCCAGTCAAAAGTTATGAGGTAAGAAACACAAAAAAATAAACAAAGTACAGTCGAATTGAGAACCTCCTCCTTTTTTGAAGCTGGTTAATATAATTAGTTTTAACTAGTGTCCCAAAGTATACAAAAGCTTAGGTCTTTTATTTATCGATTGAGGCACTACGAAGTCTGCCGGGTCAGCTAGTACATAATATAAAATAAGCAGTAAAATTTCGGTTATTTCCATAGATTGTGTGTTCGTAGTGCCTAATGTAATTTTCTAAATAATTTTAAACAAAAATCTTGTTATCGCGTTTTAGAAGCATTACATTAGTTGTCATAGGAGGATTACAGTTAAATATTTATCATAACTAGAGGTCCCGCAGTAGTCGAAATTCGACTATAATTAATTGGAATTGTAAGTTTGTACACTATTATGATTGTATTTTATACTTCTATAATCACAAATTTCGCCAAGACTACACTATAATTTTTTTTTTAATAAAGACAAACAATATTTAATCTATTCTCAATTTGACAACAGACGTCAAGAATAAAGGTTTGACAATAAATAGTATGCATGCGTGTGTGCGTCAAATACATGGTATGTAGTGTGTGTAATGTTTTCTTTATTGATTTAATGTATCTCTTATGCATTATTTTAAAAAAATATTAGCATTGTGCACTTCTTCTCTATATTCTGTATAAGTGTGGAAATTTTCATACTCCTCCGTCCGCGCAATTTTCGTAAAAAGGGATACAAAGTTTTTGCTTCACGTATTAATATATAGATTACGCGTCGTGAAAGAAGAGAATCGCGTTTCTCAACATTATTTCTATTCAAACAGCAATATTGCTCTAATATAGGTAAACTTCGTTTTTGATAACTAAATCAGACGCTATTAAGATTATCTCTATATAATATAAAAAATAATTGCTGTTCGTTAGTCTCGCTAAAACTCGAGAACGGCTGGACCGATTTAGCTAATTTTGGTCTTGAATTTTTGGTGGAAATCCAAAAAAGGTTTAAAAGGTAGATAAATATGAAAATGCTCGGAATTAAATAAAAATAACAATTTTTGTTTTCCCTTTGGTGTGTCCCCCGTCGGACAGATTGCTTTTGTTTGTTCTAAGTTTATTTTATACAAAAGCGTAGCTCTTTTATTTATCGATTGAGGCACTACAAAGTCTGCTGGGTCAGCTAGTCAGAAATAAAAACAAGTCATTACTGAACCTAAAATTATTAAAGTTTTGTATTCAAGTTAATGTTCACGATTGACTTCCACGGTGAAGGAATAACATCGTGTAATAAAAATCAAAACCCGCAAAATTATAATTTGCGTAATTACTGGGGGTAGGACCTCTTGTGAGTCCGCGCGGGTAGGTACCACCGCCGCGCCTATTTCTGCCACGAAGCAGTAATGCGTTTCGGTTTGAAGGGCGGGGCAACCGTTGTAACTATACTCGAGACCTTAGAACTTATATCTCAAGGTGGGTGGCGCATTTACGTTGTAGATATCTATGGGCTCCAATAACCAGTTAACACCAGGCTGTGAGCACTCCACCGATCTAAGCAACAAAAAAATAACTCGATGTCGCGTCCTAACATCATAGATAATAACAAAATTGTTCTGGGAAATTTATCGATACCGTAATTCCGAAAATCGTGGTAAGAACTGACCTAATAGCATTGTTTACGAGATGAAAAACTGCATTAACATAATCATATCTTATTGTTATCAAAGAAACATTAGTGAATTACCCTTTTTTTAATACGATTGCTTCTGCCTCATCAATCCGTGCCGACGGCAAAGTTACGTGTTCACAATACTTTTATTAATTTTTTTTATTGCTTAGATGGGTGGACGAGCTCACAGCCCACCTGGTGTTAAGTGGTTACTGGAGCCCGTAGACATCTATAACGTAAATGCGCCACCCACCTTGAGATATAAGTTCTAAGGTCTTAAGTATAGGTAGTTACAACGGCTGCCCCACCCTTCAAACCGAAACGCATTACTGCTTCACGGCAGAAATAGGCAGCGCGGTGGTACCACCCGGGTAGGTAACAACACCTTTAACCTACTTCTTCCGAAGTCTTTCGGTTGTAAAGCGGTGGAGCCTTTGTAATATACTGCTGAGACTTTGATGTCACATCTCAAGGTGGTTGACATCATTGTGAGGATCTCCAGTGATCACTTAACGCTAAGCTATAAGTATTTTTCTGTTAGATTTTTTTGAGCCGTATGCTCGTCTGCCTACAAAGTCAATTGCCATTTATAAGACGGTATATGAGAACGGCTCGACCGATTTTCAATATTGAAGGATATATTCTGAAAAATTCTAGAAAAGTAAAACACAATACCGATATCACATTAATATGACCAGAAAATAATAGATGTATACTGTTTTAAAGTAAATAAAGAACACGCTTATATACTATACCGAAATATAATTGATTGATTTCATATTTAATCGACATTAATAAGGATATTAGAGCAAAGTTATAATATTCTTGTATCGTCAACGATCCTTGACGCGCGCGCGAATTGTCAAGTTAATTGGTCGTCTTGGAGTCGGTGGAAATGAATTCTGTTTTTGAAGATTCTGTTACATATAAACAAACTTATATTTTTTACTGCTTAGATTGTTGGACGAGCTCACAGCCCACCTGTTGTTAAGTGGTTACTGGAGCTCATAGACATCTACAACGTAAATGCCGCCGCTCACCTTGAGGTAATAGCGTATTTGGTAGTAAATGTGTAATAATGTAAGGTAATGTAATGTTATATATACTTTTTCTTTGTTTTTTATATAATGAACCGCTTTTTTTTATGCATGCAGTCGGTACCTGTAATTGTGTTAGCATTTAGTGTGAAATCAATGTTTATGATACCTGTAATGTTCTGTGCTGATGTATAACATGTTGGTACCCAATAAATAAAATAAAATAAAAAAGGTATAAGTTCTAAGGTCTCAGTACAGTTACAACGGCTGCCCCACCCTTCAAACCGAAACGCATTACTGGTACCTACCCGTGCGGACTCACAAAAGGTCCTACCACCAGTAATACATACCAAGGAACGCTGTTTTATCTTAACAATACGTAATGAAGCTTATATTCATATTTCACGTATCAGACATTCTCAAGCAAGCCAAAATAACACAATCAAATTGCCTACCTCTTGATGCCTTGAACAGGTCTTCCAGTTTCATCATCATCATCATCATTTCAGCCTATCGCCGTCCACTGCTGAACATAGGCCTCTCCAATAGATTTCCAGTGCGACCGGTCCATTGCCACCTGCATCCAACGAGACCCAGCGCTTTTTACTAGGTCGTCGGTCCATCTAGTAGGTGGCCGTCCCACACTGCGCTTGCCAGTACGTTTACTTCCAGTTTGAAGTTAAATAAAACAAAAGCTTAGCATAGCGTAACGTCACATTGATGTCATTCTGGTCAAACGTCGCAGGATCTCCGGTAAGGACTAGGCATCAATCAATTTACAGCAAACAAAAAAGTATAATATTTCCTGTTCGCATGGCCTAACAATGACCACTTTCAAACTTGTTTTACCCAAAATCTAGGGAGCCAAATCCGTCAGCCACTAAAGAACATTTGCTATAATATTTTTGTCATTAATGCTAAATATATAAAAATGAATTGCTGTTCGTTAGTCTCGCTAAAACTCGAGAACGGCTGGACCGATTTGGCTAATTTTGGTCTTGAATTATTTGTGGAAAGTTTAAAAGGTAGATAAGAGAATGTTTAAAAGGTAGGTAAATATGAAAATGCTCAGAATTAAATAAAAATAACAATTTTGTTTTTCCTTTGATGTGTCCCCCGTCGGACGGATTCCTTTTGTTTATCTTTTATTTATCGATTGAGGCACTACGAAGTCTGCCGGGTCAGCTAGTGCTAAACAAAACAACATCGCGTCCTTTTGTCCTCGTCAGCAAATCTAATTAGAGTACATGGCACAGGATATTTGCACTCACCGGAACTAGGTCGGTCGCTGTATCTGGTGCAGTATACCCAGGCTGGCCACAGCTGGCCAGGGTTGCTCTGGGACTGGATGGAGCTCGCGTCCGAGCTTCCGCAGGTGGAAACCGCGCCGCTCGACGTCGACGAGACGATGGAACTCGCGGAGTCGGGCCTCTTCTGCTGCTCCAGACTCTTCGGAGGCTCCCTGTCTCTGGACAAGCGTTCGCCGATCTGCGATACCGTCTCCCTCAACCCTCCTAAAGGCGGCAAAGCGTTGCAATCACTCGTTTCCTTACTCTTCAAATAATCAAAGCCGTATTTCGATAAGTCCGGTTTGGATAAATCGTAAGGCTTGTACAGGATACTGTGATTTGGTCCGATGGGCTTGGGACCTTCGATTTTGTTCGTTTTCCTGATGGCGTTCAAGCCGAACTCAGGGTGCAGGATGTTGTTTATGGAGAAGGCGACCGGCATGGTGGGTTGCAGCCGCTGCCCCCTCGATCTGTCCAGTTCAAACCTCTGCTCCTCCCGGCTGAAATGAGGCTTTACGTCGGGCGTTTCAGGGCGGTAGTAGTCCTGGTATTCCATCTCGTTCTGACCGCGTCCCGGGCTGGGAGGCGGGGAGTCCGGCTGCACCTTCACAATTGTCATGTTCGGAGAGCCTCGTTCGTACTTCGATTCTATTGTGGTGCAAGTGTACTGGCTCTGCGGGCTGTATGCAAGGGTCTCGGCGTGCGGCGCCGGGACTCGCCCCGTCACCGGTCCCGGACTGTTAGCCTGGCTAGGGCTGCAGCGGTCCTCGAAGGCCATTCTCGTGTTCCACTTGTCACGCAGCGAGCCACCCGCGACGCGTCTCTATCAGCCGTGACGGTGTTTGTTCATCGTTGGGACGAAGAACACAATGCGGGTCCCCGGTTCCGTGTGGCGCGCGATTTAAATGCCTCCACTAATGTCCGCGACCGATTCGAATTCGAGACGCGGTCGACTGTTTGACGCGAGTTTCGAATGTCATTAATATTAATCGATACGGGGGCTCATTAGCATGGATCCTTTGCCGCTCGACACGACGGACGACACTTGTTTTCTTTTTTTTTTCGTCGTGTAGACGCCGGGCGCGTGACAGACAGCCGGAGCTGTCAAATTGAAACGTCACTTTGCGTTTGACGCGAACGTGGCACTGCGCTCGCGGCGGCGGCGGCGCGGCGACTGCGCCCCTCGCCTGTCTTAGGGGACACGCCCCCGAACAAACAAGCTTCTCACCCTACCCCGACCTCATGTTGGGCGGTCGCCGCCTTCTGATCGATGTAAAAACGCAGCGTCTCTCTCTGGCTTGCAGCAAGGCCTTGATACCGAAAGGGACGCATAGATTCCGATTGATTTAACTTGATTGTGTATTTAGTGGGCCGGTTGAGATTTGTAATTCCGCCGTGGATTGCCGGTTCGGCTCTTTTGCGCGATCGTAATGTATCAATAATACTGCGGTCGCGTTTGTACGCACGCCACAGAATTTCAATTAAAACCTGACAGAATTATTATATCGATAGACCTGGGTCGGCGGCCATTTTGATAAATTATTAAATAAGGTTTTTTTCTTCCCTTTAGTAATTAAGTTATAGGTGAGCTATTGTTGTCGTGTTTAGGTTCACGCAATTAGTAATTGGTGCGTCGTTTGTAGTGATTAATTAAATTATTTAAATTGTAATCGAACTAACATCTACTATTTCGGGGACTTAAATTACAATCAAGACTTCATTTACCTACACAAATTTACTTGAATGTAATTGGCAAGCGTCTTGAAGTGGCACGTTGACCATGCTCGGTGGGCAATGGAAGTAAGAGACTTGGTTAGAGACTTAGGAAGTTACCTACTGGTGGTAGGACGTCTTGTGGGTCCGCACGGGTAGGTACCAACACCCTGCCTATTTCTGCCGTGAAGCAGTAATGCGTTTTCGTTCGAAAGGCGGGGCGGGGCACCGTTGTAACTTTACTGAGACCTTAGAACTCATATCTCAAGGTGGGTGGCAGCATTTACGTTGTATATGTCTGTGGGCTCCGGTAACCACTTAACACCAGGTCGTGAGCTCGTCCATCCATCTAAGCTATAAAAAAAAGTATTTAGAGCAAGCGACGTAAGATCATCTACTCGTGCGAAATAACAATAGCGTGATTGTCGGAGATCTATGTCTCGGTTTTAGATCACGGCGCGTTCCACCGCCTCTTCTGTGAGGATTGCTAGAGGAACTGTACCAAGGAACGCCGGTAGGAGAGGGAGTAGGTTCATTAATTTCAAAAAAGCTTCAGAATTCCAGCGGCACGAATTAATTTACTTACATTCCCTTCGCAATCATCACGAAAATCGAAAATCGAAACTTATACTCATAATCGAGAACACGATTATTTTGACATTTTTTTTTAGTCCCACCTATGCCGATAACCTTGAGAGGCTATTTCAGCTTCTCCTTGACGCGTAGATGAGCTCACAGGGCTCAAACCGGGAGTGTTGCTAGCACTGGCCCTAGCAAGAGCAGTGCTTCGCAGAATCTACCACCGGATCGGAAACGCGACCCACTGAGAAGATCCGGCGAGAAACTCTATGGGCTGTCTGAATGATGATGATTTTCTATAAAAGCTTATTTTTTTTGTTTTATTAAACTATTATTTATTTTCCATTGTTTAGTTGAATTTCAATTTTTTCAATTTATTTTTTTAAATATTGAATTGTCATCGGTCCTTAATAGGTATGCCAAATTTCGAGTTAATCCGACGTTTTGAAGGGGGTCAAAGTCATGTTCAAAGATTCCGATACATACTAACATACATACGTCTGAAGCTAATAAAAGCGTATTAACAAAACTTATTCTCTGTCTTTATCTTTTTTTTTTATTGCTGAGATGGGTGGACGAGCTCACAGCCCACCTGGTGTTAAGTGGTTACTGGAGCCCATAGACATCCACAACGTAAATGCGCCACTCACCTTGAGATATAAGTTCTAAGGTCTCAGTATAGTTACAACGGCTGCTCTACCCTTCAAACCGAAACGCATTATTACTGCTTCACGGCAAAAATAGGCAGGGCGGTGGTACCCACCCGTGCGGACTCACAATAGGTCCTACCACCAGTACCTAATTACGCAAACTAGAGGTCCCGCAGTAGTCGAAATTCGACTATAATTAATTGGAATTGTAAGTTTGTACACTATTATGATTGTATTTTCAACGCCAAGACTACACTATAGAAAAATATTAATAAAGACAAACCATATTTAATCTATTCTCAATTTGACCACAGACGTCAAGAACAAAAGTTTGACAATAAATAGTATGCATGCGTGTGTGCGTCAAATACATGGTATGTAGTGTGTGTAATGTTTACTTTATTGATTGAATGTATCTTTTATGCATTATTTAAAAAAAAGTATTAGCTTTATGCACTTCTTCTCTATATTCTCTATAAGTGTGGAAATTTTCATACTCCTCCGTCCGCGCAATCTTCGTAAAAAGGGATACAAAGTTTTTGCTTCACGTATTAATATATAGATTATAATTTTGCGGGTTTCATTTTTATTACACGATGTTATTCCTTCACCGTGGAAGTCGATCGTGAATATTTGATCTAAACATCGCTAAGCTTATCTAACGTTCACGCTTCGAGATGCTTAATTGCGATTCACTTAAATGCTCTCTCCATAAAAATCGATTTGATAATTCAGTTATTAATAATCGAGTGCGCCTTTACGTAATTATTCTATCGGAATTCGCCACGCCGCGTACGTAATGTCTCTATCCGAATGTTTTATTCTACAGACCAGTTCAGAACTAGTTACAAATATTCAATTAGTGAATTATTATATTAACTAGTGGTCCCACAGTAGTCGAAACTCGACTATAATTAATTGAAATTATAAGTTTGAACATTGTTATGGTTAGGTATATTGTCAAAGGCTATTATACTAATCACAGCTTTCGCCAAGACAAATAATATTCAAGATAAACAATATTAACCTATTTTCAATTTGACCACATACTTTAAGCATTAACTAAAGTTTGACAATAAACAAGGAGTATATATGTGTGTGTGTGTGTCAAATACATGGCAGTGTGTGTAATGTTTTTTTTTTTTAGATTGAAGGATTACTGGTGGCCCGGAGACCTTTCCAGTTTCACCAGGACAGGTGGGCGAGCAAAGGTTCAGCCAGGAGATGTAATGTTTTCTTTATTGGTTTAATGTATCTTTTACGCATTATTTAAAAAAAATATTAACATTCTGCACCCCTTCTCTATATTCTCTATAAGTGTGGGAAATTTCATACTCCTCCGTCCGCGCAATTTTCGTAAAAAGGGATACAAAGTTTTTGCTTCACGTATTAATATTATACGTAATGAGATGAATGTCACTTGTTTGACATTGCAATTGATTGGGATGAAATAATAGGTCAAATTGTAATTGTGTGTTCGGTGAGCTTAATGCTGGATGTTTAATTGATCATTATATTTTTATCTATATATTAATAATACGTGAAGCAAAAACTTTGTACCACTTTTTACGAAAATTGCGCTGATAAAGGAGTGTGAAATTTGCCACACTTATAGAGAATGTAGAGAAGAAGTGCAGAATGCTAATATTTTAATTAAATTATGCAAAAAAAATATCATTAAATCAACAACAAAAAAATTACACACACACACAAAAAAATTACACATATATTTGACACACACTCGCGTATAAATATTTTTTGTTTATTGTTAAAGTCAATGGTCAAATTGAGAATAGATTAATATTGTTTGTCATTAATATTATTTGTCTATAGCCTTCGCGAAATCTGTGATTATAGACGTATAGTCTGACAATAGAACCAAAATAATGTTCAAACTTATAATTTCAATTAATTATGGTCGAATTTCGACTACTGGGCGAACAACACGAGTAATTCGTAACGAAACGCGAGCTTTTGCGGTCAAGAAAAAGCTCGCTGAATATCATAAAATGTCTATGGAAAGTAAATCGATAAACTTCGATTTAGCGTAGGCGTTATTATTAAAATTAATTTTATATTTCTGTAGCGCATTTTTTAGTTGCCATTTTTTTTATTGCTTAGATGGGTGGACGAGCTCACAGCCCACCTGGTGTTAAGTGGTTACTGGAGCCCATAGACATCCACAACGTAAATGCGCCACCCACCCACCTTGCCATCCATTGCAAGCGATATTTATTAATGAACACATACTCTAATTAAGACGAATTGTAACTAGTTGAAACTAATTTTTAGGACTGATTTGTTAATTAAGCTTCGGAGAACTTTTATACACTTGTATCTTTCATGACCACTCAGGGTCAAGAAAGGGCTTAAACAATTCTATTACCAATCTCATAATAATCAAGTCTTAATTCGAATGTTTTTTTTATTTGCTTAGATGAGTGGACGACCTCACCCCACCTGGTATTAAGTGGTCACTGGAGTCCATAGACATCTACGACGTAAATGCGCCACCCACCTTGAGATATAAGTTCTAAGGTCTCAGTATAGTTACAACGCTTCCTTCAAGCCGAAACGCATTACTGCTTCATGGCAGAAATAGGCAGGGCGGTGGTACCTATCCGTGCGGACTCACAAGAGCTTCTACCGTCAGTAATTACGCAAATTAAATTTTGCGGGTTTGATTTTTATTACACGATGTTATTCCTTCACCGTGGAAGTCAATCGTGAACGTTTGTTGAGTACGTATTTCATTAGAAAAATTGGTACCCGCCTGAGATTCGAACACCGGTGCATCGCTCAACACGAATGCACCGGACGTCTTATCCTTTAGGTCACGACTTTCAAGTGGGTTTTGTAGGGTATGCTTAAATTAGCAAATTTCTTTGATTACATTAGTAAACAATGCACAGAATCAAACCCGCTACCCCGTACATAACATTACGAACGTGTTTAATCTACACTGTATTGAAATTCTCACGCGTTCAGACCACACACGTGGCTACAAAAATAACTATTGTACATACAAATTGTATGCGGCTTGGAGAGTAGAATAGGTTATTAAGATGCAATCGAGAATGCTTCGTGGCTCAAAGCGGGGTGTGGTGTTGGCGGTTTAGCGTTTATGAGCACCCGTGAGCCAAGTTTGAACGTGAGATTAGGTAGACGAGTTACGAAAATTAAGTAAATTGTCACGGTTTGGCGAATATAAGATGAAAAA